GTGTGTGTGTGTGTGTGAGTGTGTGTGTATGTGTATGTGTGTGTGTGTGTGAGTGTGTGTGTATGTGTATGTGTGTGTGTGTGTGAGTGTGTGTGTATGTGTATGTGTGTGTGTGTGTGAGTGTGTGTGTATGTGTATGTGTGTGTGTGTGTGAGTGTGTGTGTATGTGTATGTGTGTGTGTGTGTGAGTGTGTGTGTATGTGTGTGTGTGTGTGTGAGTGTGTGTGTATGTGTATGTGTGTGTGTCCATAGGGAAAGTCGAGTGATTAGCTGTGTTTAATGATATTAGCAGGAGCTCCTGAACAGCAGACATGTTTGAGGTTTAATGACTCGTCAGTGTTTGTTCATCTTCATGAGGAAAATAAACACAGTTCAACAAAACATCAAATAAAACGTGACAACTTGCCCCAACCTGACATTACTGAAAAATACTCTTCTGAGAACAGTTTAACCTTCAGTATATCCACCATATTTTTAATGCAAGAACAGTCGTCTGGTGTCATTCACTTTCAGTTATTTTACTAAACAGCTTGTTATCCTGCTTGATTTCACAAACTAGTATTGTTTTCATATTATTATAATTCATTATTGTAATCATAAACACATTGGTTTGAAGTGCAAACAGTGATACCTTTTACTGCTCTTTGTTATTCTTCCAGTTATTTACCTATTTTCCTGAAGCTCAAACAGTGACGCAGACGCTTGCAACACAAGGGTCAGGAGTCAAATCCTAGGAAATGCATGAACTGATAAAAATGTAAATGTGTACATTAAATGCAGCACAAGTCGCTTTGGATAAAAGCGTCTGCCATAAATATATAAAATGTTTAAAGCAAACGTTTCAGTCCATCTCAGACTATCTTCAGTGCTTAATCCTCTTCAGTGAGTCGACAACTTGACTTTTTTGTGCAACTTTTTTTTTGGTTATTGCAATTTTGTTACTTGTTGTCATTATATATGAAAATCTTCAGTAAAATATTTTGTTTTAAATGCATCTTGGACTTTAAACTTTTGTTTTCTAAATATTTAAATATAAAATAATATATACCTACAGTACATATGTAGTTTCCTTCAAAAGTTTGGAAATTTTTAAATGTGTTTAACAAAGTCTCTTCTGCTCACCAAGGCTGCATTTATATGATTGAAAATACAGTAAAAAAAATAATATTATCTTATGTAAAATAGCTGTTTTCTATGTGAATCTCTGTTAAACTGTAATGTATTTCCGTGATGCGCAGCTGTATTTTCAGCATCATTACTCCAGTCTTCAGTGTCACATGATCTTCAGAAATCATTCTGAAACAAAGGTTTTTGCTACTTAATATTTTTGTGAAGTATGATTTACAGTTGAACAGATATTCACACAGAAAACAGATATTTTACATTCTAATAATATTTCACTGTTTTTACTGTATTTGTGATCAAATAAAAGCAGCCTTGGTGAGCAGAAGTCATAAAAAATCATAATGCTTCCAAACGTCTGCACTGCAAAATAATGTCCTCTATATTTCCTCTGACTCCTCTATATCCGTATACCTGATATGAATCTCAAACTCTCTCTGAAGAACCACCTGATCAGGACAGACTGTGGCCAAAACAGCTAAGAGGGGAAAAAGGTGAGAACATTGCATGGATCGAGGCATGCTCCACACAGAATTTATTTTAAAGATATTTGCTTTACATGCTCATGTGTAGTTACTTTAAGGTATTTTTTTTCAAGTATTTTTTATTACCTTATACGTCCAAAACTGTAATTTTTCACCAAAAAAAAACAAACAAACATTTTTTAACATTTTGTTGCAACATTTTACAAAAATCAAGCTTGAAGATATTTGGTCAAAACCCCATGTTATAAAAGATGAAGTGCTATGCAGGCTATTTAACACAATATATGACCCTGGAGCACAAAACCAGTCATAAGGGTACATTTTTCGAAATTGAGATTTATGCATCATCTGAAAGTTGGATAAATAAGCTTTCCATTGATGTATGGTTTGTTAGGATAGAACAATATTTGGCTGAGACACAACTATTTGAAAATCTGGAATCTGAGGGTGCTAAAAAATCTAAATATTGAGAAAATCATCTTTAAAGTTGTCCAAATTAAGTTCTTAGCGATGCATATTACTAATCAAAAATTAAGTTTTGATATATTTACGATAGGAAACATACAAAATATTTTACTTAATATCCTAATGATTTTTGGCATAAAAGAAAAATGTATAATTTTGACCCATACAATGTATTGTTGGCTATTGCTACAAATATACCCCAGCGACTTAACACTGCTTTTGTGCTGCAGGGTCACATATTGGATGATTAGATGGCAATGCTGAGCTAAAATGCAAAATGTTTGCCCTCTCTCTCTCTCTTCACCGTTCCCACATCTCAGACCTCAAATACATAAAACATGACCCTTTTCAGACATAGTTTTAGAAAGTAGAGAGTAAAGAAAATACTATGCAAAACTTACTGAAACAACCAGTTCTTTTTTAACCCTTGTAAGATTCTCACTGGATCTAAGCAAATCTCATAGGTGACCTATTTTGATCTCATAATAGTGAGTTGTCACTGAAAGGCGAGGAGTTAGCATCTCTTACCGGCGACGGAGACTTCAGCGGTGCGGCTGACGATGGCTCCGAGGCCCTCCAGCGAGGCCAGGCACTGGTACGAGCCCTCGTCTGGACGGTGGTGGCGCGAGTGCAGCACGTTCTGCACCAGGAGTGATCCGTTGGACTGCTGCTGTCTGCGCTCGTCCACCACCGCGCTCAGCAGCACGCCGTCCTTCTTCCAGGAGATGACCGGAACGCCCTGATCCGAGCGCGCCTCGCAGTCCAGCTGCAGCACACCGCCCCGAACCGTCACCGCGTCCTGCGGCTCCAGCACGAACCGCAGCTCCACGAAAGACCGCCGAGCATCCAAGCCTAAGAACCACAGACAGAGAGAGACACGTTTCATCTTATAATCCGCTAACACTTTATGTGTATAATGCATTATACAGTAAATGGCTATTACAGGCTATACAGCATTATAATTATTCATAATGTGCACTGTCAAGTCAAGCCAAGTCACTGTTATTTATATAGTGCTTTTTACAATGCAGATTGTGTCAAAGCAGCTTTTCAGACAGTATTAAACAGGGAAACGGTGTCCCTGCAGACGAGACCAGCAGTTTAATTCTAGACTGCAGCAAAGTCAGATTGTGCAGAGGACTCATTGTATTACATTTATATCTTGTCGTAATTATAACCAAATTTAAAATGCATTGAGTAACAATGAATTTATAATGAATTCACTCAGGTTACAGTTATTTGTGAGATTGTACAATGCATTATAAGGTGCATTACAAGGCATATTAATGCATTAAAACTACTTTTATATTGCATTACATATAAAGGCTTTAAGTAAAGTGTTACCAATAATCCTTGATTGGCGTACAGGAAACATTGTTTTCTGTTAAATGTACTCAAATAAACTAAAAGCTGAAATAAAAAAAAATGATAAAAAAAAACATACAGGTATTTAAAAAACAAGAGAAATATCACAATATATTTACTAAAACAAACCTATAAAAACTGTACGCTTGTTTCTGCCACAGAATTTAAAAAAAATGAAAAACGGTAATTTTATCTCACAATTCTAAGACAAAAGTAAGAATTGAGAGGTACAACTGCAAAATAAAAACTCTAAATTCTGACTTTTCCCCTCAGAATTCTGAGTTTACATCTTTTTTTCCTTATAATTCTTATGCTATATAGATATAAAAAAATGTAAAAAATTACACAATATAATAATACATATATATAATATATGTATATATAATATATTATAATATATTAACATAATATATTATATATTATTACAATATAATATTATAACATAATAATTAAAATTAAACTTAAAACTATGGAAACTTGTTTCCAGCACAGGATAACAAATACATAAATAATTAAAATGAATAAATAAATTATGATTGAAACTTTTTATTTCGTTTCTCACAAATCTAGTGATTTACAGAAGATCATCAGAGAGTCCAGCAAAAATTTTCATTACTTGAAATAAATGGTAACTGAAATATAGAAAAACAATTTTTTATAAAGATTATAGATATTTTAAAAATAACAAAAATCACTAATTATAAACGGTAAACTATAGAAATCGGTTTCAATAAAAAAGATACTTGCAACTTTTTATTTTACAATTTAGACTTTGTTTCTCACAATTCTGAAAATTGTGAGATATAAACTCAGAATACTTTCCTCAGAATTACAGAATTATAAAAAATAAAAAAGGTAATTACCACTTTTTATCGCACAATTGTGATTTCTTTCTGAGAATTGCAAATTCATATCTCAAAATTTTCAGTTTATAGTTCTTATATCTCTATATAAACTCTGAATTGCAAGATACAAAGTCGCAGTTACCTTTTACATTTTTTTTTTATTCCATGGTGGAAACAAGCTTTCATTGAAAGCAGAAAAACACAAAACTAAAAAATTCAAAACAGTGATAAGTGCAATAGCATCTGAATAATGCTCAAATAACAGTGTATGCTTGTTTCTTCCACACAGATGCTAGTGTGTGCGTGTGCAAATGAAGGTGTGTTTCCGCAGCAGGCGCTTCAGTTTCTCTTCACTGAAATGCATTCATGTGTCTGGAGGCTTTCATTCACGCGACGCTCAGAAGCGCATCAGACGCTGCTAATTCATACCTGCTGAGAAGCCCTCATTCTATCTGTGTCTTTGTTTTTGTGTGTGAGAGATAACACTTCAGCGCTCAGCATGATAAACCATCACCGCACGGATCCAGCGCCACACACACCCCGCTTATTAGGCAATATTTTGGTTAATTTGATAGATATTTGGGAGTTTTTTTTTTTTTTTAATAAACTGAAGCCATGAAGAAGAAATAGTCTAACGGTAGATAAAATAATAGAGTGATAGACAGAACATTAGAACGATAGACAGAATGATACATAGAACATTAGAATGATAAAAAGAATGACAGACAGAATGATGAATGATAGAATGACAGAATGTTAAAACAATAGATAAAACAATAGAATGATAGAAAGATAGATAGAATGACAGATTGAACATTAGAATGATGGATGGATGCTTGGATAAATGGATGGATGGATGGATGGATGGATGGATGGATGGATGGATGGATGGTTGGATGAATGGATGGATGATGGATGGACGGATGGATGGATGGATGGATGGATGGATGGATGAATGGATGAATGGATGGATGATGGATGGACAGACGGATGGTTGGTTGGATGAATGGATGTTTGAATGGATGAATGGATGGATGATGGATGGACAGACGGATGGATGGATGGATGAATGGATGGACGGATGTAGTTTTTTGTTATTTTATTGAACTGAAAGCCAGCTTAAACAATGCACAGTGTGCATTGCACACACATTAAATATCATGTAAATCATCCATGCTAACACACACGTTTTCTATTTGATTTTTCATTTTTCATTTGAAAGTAGACATTTTACTCTCTATAGATATATTTTTCATATATAATAATTGCTGTTAATAGTGTTCATAGTCTGTTTGATTACGTCTTTAATTGATTTTTCCGTACATTTCTGCCATATGTACATTTACTGACATAGT